CAGACGGGGTTTGCATGAAATCTGCGGGATGCACGACGGGGTGAACAAACCCTCTGGGACTGGATACGGATTCAACCCCGACGGAGCGTGTGTGGCCAGGGCTTCTGGGAAAGAGTTGCATGAGCTGAGGTGGTGGGATCCACTGGCACCGCCCCACTACGTCACCCCTGTGCCACAAGGATTCTTGCACCCTCTCCTAGGATGGAACTCTGAGGTTCTCCTGTTTGTGAAGCAACTCATTCCTCTTATATATTACAAAAGGAACTCACAAGGTTGCTTGCGACTTTTTTTTGTAACTTAAAAGAGCACTAAGGGTTTGGCGTGCAGCCGAAACCACCAAAAAATCTCCATCAAAATGCCTCCTTTAAAAGTAACTTTTTGAAAGAAGAAAAAAAAAACGCCCTAGAAAATACCGCCTCACCGAACTAATTTGGTTCCTGCTCCTTGTATTACTTCTTAAATGTGGATTTATCACAGTAAACAGAGAGGTAACCTCTTCCAGGTAATGACATTTATTTGTGCCCCATTACTTCCAAACTTCAGTTAAGAAACCCAATAAGCCCCATTAAAGTGTCTGTAAGACGTGCCTCTCTGCTAGGTAGAACTCCCAGAATAGAGAATGATGGGGTTTGTAGTCCAAGGAATCGAAAAATTCAATCCGTAACCATTGCCTGCTTCCCGAAGGAGGGCCACTTAGTGCTTTTTCCACAAAACGCTTTCTGCAAAATCCACATTTCCCCAGTTTAAGACTCCCTAGAACCGTCTGTGCCACCGATGTTCAGATTCGGACATGGTCAAGTTGCCTGCTTCACCAGGTTGTGTTTGCTCCCCACCCCCGCAAGCGACCGAAAGAGTACAAGAAAACCCCAGCTGCATTTTTTACAACATCGCTCCCCCCCACACACACTTTGGCTTGGTGCCTTACACTTGTCTCTCATCCTCCTCCCTCTTGCCCTCACCACAACGAGCTTGCGAGGTGGAGCAGGCAAAGAAACCATCTTGAAACTCTGATCTTACAACCTGGCCAAATGAGCCAGTTCTCTCCATAAATGGAAGCAGGGCAGCTGCTTCTACAGATTAGGGATCCCCCAAAACTTCTCCGTGGTGGCTTGTTGTTCCTTAAACCAGCTCCTTTGATCCTGATTTTTTCCCACCTCCCCTTTCCGCTCTGCCTTTCTGCTTCTCGTTCAGGGGAGATCCGCTTTCTTCTGATGTAGACATGACCTGCAATTAGTCCCCTTGTCAAACATGGGTACTGTTGTGCTGGCGAGGAGGCCACCCACACCGCCACTTTGGACCAAGCGGTTGTGTTGGGGGGGGGAAGGACAACACGGAGGCTGGGCATCTTTTTCCGGACTTTATTCCCCCCCCCTTCATCTCCAAAGCCCCCAAATCTCAATTTTAGTCATCACCTTGAGCCCTGTAAGGCTTAGAGGTCCCTTGGGGGTGGGGGGAAACCAAGCTCTACAAGAGGCAGATCTCCCGCTTACCATCTGTTCCCTGTCCCCAAATCTCAATTTTAGTCAGCACCTTGAGCCCCGTAAGGCTTAGAGGTCCCTTGGGGGGGGGGGTCCAAGCTCTACAAGAGGCAGATTTCCCGCTTACCATCTGTTCCCCGTCAAGAGAGAGAGAGAGAGACGGGAAGAAGCTGGAGATAAAACTGTCCTGGAGCACCTTAATGGAAATCTTTGACCCACCGATCTGTTTACCCATCCTTTGGCTGAGTCCATATATCTTTTCTCCTCTAATCCCACAGAAATAACCCCATGGGAAGGGGGCTCTTTGATTCTTAAGAGACCCAGCCACTTTGGGTTCCTCTTGACCATTCAAAACCCAGGCAAGATTGATCGGTCTTTCCCGCGGTCTTTGGCCAGTGGCATTGACCCCCAAGTCAAAACGGATGCAGGCCGTTTGTGGGCTGAAAATATATATATATACAATCATGAACCCCAGTAGCGGACAAAGGCCAGGGTTCATCCAGCTGGCCAATGGAAAGGGCTTTCTCAGAGGCTGTTTCGAGGATAAATGATGGGCCTTTGTATCTTATACTGAATTAGAACCATCATCAACCTAGGCTGGTATTCCCAGCTCTGACTGGCAGAATCATCCTCCCAAGTTAGACTCCTGCTTCCTTTAGCTCAGACTTCTCTGTCCTTTGAGCTTCTAAAGTTAATTTTTTTCCCAGTGGGATTAACCCCGGTTCCTTCGGCCTGAGATTACAGGGCTCGGACCCCCCAAAATATAACTTTTTCAAGCTCTGCGGCAGCTGACAAAATTCTCTCCAGATTCTCAGGCAAAATGCCTCTCTAGTGTTGCATGCTCAATGAAATACCCCAATCTCTCCATGTTTTGAAGCCTTTGGAGATAATAAAGAGGTTCCTCCCCCTTCTGTCTACCACCTTTCCTTACGAAATCCCGATGGCCTGTTTCGGGGTTGCCATGCTGCTGTAGGATTTCCCATCCACCCCATAAAAATAACCGTGTCTCCAGTGACCTGAGTAATGTACCTGTACAGTAGTGTACCTAGATTTGTCACGACAATCAAAGAGGGCACTAAGGCTTTCTTAAGGAAGAGTAAATGGTAAAGGTTCCCACCCTTGACAATTTGTCCATTTTAACCCACAGTGCCAGTTCTCTGGGGATAAGAAATGTAACTGGGGGAGATAAACCTGGTTGAATCATCATCATCATCATAATGTCTTAGAACCAGAAGGGACCCCATGGATCATCCAGTCCAGCCCTTGTTAAGGAGGCGAGTGGGGGATTTGAACTGCCTAAACCGCTGAGCTTGTATTCAGTAGTCCATGAAGAATCATCATCATCACCATTTTAAAACTATTTTAAGTGCAGAGGAGTCTGGGAGACCAAGTGGGGAATAGAACAAGATTATAATCGATGACCCGCTCTGTTTTAATCTAATTACGTCCCAGACTCCGACTGGTCCCTTTGAAATATGTTAGAAAGCAACTCCAAACGCATGTGGCCTGCGGAGGATGATGGGACCCGCTGTCCTTCACCTCTCCAAGCTGAAAGGATGCCCTTGGCTCAGTGCATGTGAGATTTTTGTGGTTTGTTTTGGTTTTTATTATTATTATTTTTGCATTTGGCCACCCACCAAAAGTCTTCTCATTAGCCTTCAAAGATAGATGGCTCCTGGGCACATCTCCCTCTTTCTTTCTCCACGGCTCACAGACCTATTTTGGGATGCAAGAGCCTGCATGGAGAGATAGAAGGGAACAAGAAAAGCATCCTTGAACGCCAGCCCGGGCCAGTTGATGACATTTACAAGGTGACGGAGCGATAGACTCAGGAGCCAGAGGCGGGGATGATGTGAGGAGTGAAAGGGAAGAGGCAGGAGGGGGTCGGCCGGGCACAAAGCCCTTATCGGCTGGCGTTGCCATGCCGGAAAAGACGAAAACAGTGTGAGTGATGGGGAGCACTTGCAGCCGGACACGCACCGGCTTTTTAAAGGACTTTCCAACCCCGGCAACGTGCCAGCCACCACTTCGGTGGGCTGGCGTAGATAACAGCCTGGTTTTTTAAATCCCACTTGCCTGCCCTCCTTTCTGCAGAATACAAAAGCCAAGGAAGAGCAAGTGTTTGCCAACCGACTCCACTGGCACAGTTTTTGCCCAGGAATGAGGGATGCCCTGTCCTTCTGGTGCCCACCCCAGCTTTTGGGGGGGGTACAACGCCATTTGGGGGTTATTTGCCCAGACAGAGGGGCTACTGGACGTTCGCCAGCTTGGCTGGAGGCGATGGAGGTGGTAGTTCCACCCGTCTGGCGAGCGTCAGTCCAGGGAAGACGCGGTGTAGACCAGGTTTTGAGCGAGACCGGCCCAAGCACGGTAGCTTCTTATCTTCTTGTTTTTAATCGGCTCGTTAAGTCAGATTTTGGGGGTGTGTGTGACCAAGAGCTGAAGCCGTGTCTGCTGGAAATGAACCGGAGGAACTGAGGTTTATGGCTCAATTAAAAGCGTTTGAAGGGTTTCTGCCCCTTTCGAAGGGAAAGCAAATGTGCACCGTAGAGCAGTGTGGGTGTGTGCCTATTGTGACATATAAAAATTAGCTCTAACGAGTGCAATCCTTTGGTGTTCACCATCCCTCCCATACGCTGCCTCAAAACCCAAAGCCTGTGGCTGGAAAATCATCTGGTGCCCTCTTCTGCTGAAGTCCTTCCATGACATCCAAGACCAGAGCCTTCGGGCTCTGGATGCACAACCGCCGGTGCAACAACAGAAAGAAAGGCTCTCCTTGCACCAGGAGGGCGTGTGGGCACATCTGGGCCTCTGGCCCTCTCAGCAGCATCATTCAGCGACAGCAAGGCAGGCCATGCTGGTTTGCAAGAAATCCTCCCAAAGCCACCCTCAGTGGGTGGGTACCTTGATGAATTAGGAGACCGATTTCAGTAGAGGCAGCATGGTGTGCCGGAAAAGAAAAGGGGGGGAGGATTTCGTGCCCCCCCAACACTCTGCCTCAAATTTGACCCTCAAGGGTCACAACAATGGACTTGTCACCCCTTATTTGTTTGTTTGTTTGTTTGTTTGTTTATAAATGTTAGCTCAATTATTTTATTTTGTATGTATGTATGTATGTATGTATGTATGCATACATGCATGTTTATCCTGGCTTTGTCCTAAACAAAACAAAAACAAACAAACAAAAAGAAACCAGCTTACATAATTTAAAACCCCACCAGATTCAAAGCTAAATATGGTAAATTATTCAAAATATTAATGAAATGTTTGTCTTGGGCTCCCAAACACAACAACCGCCCCCTCCCGTTGAAATGAGGGGAAAAAGGTTCTTTGGGAACTATAACTCCCATAATCCACAGTGTGTGGTGGGGGATGAGGGGAGTTGTAGTCCCTCCTAAAGCAACTTCTCGCTTGCCTCTCTTTCTCTGCCCCAGAACGGCTCGTAGAGAATTGGGGGGACGCTCTAGCCCTCCCACTCTCCATGGCCACCCTTTGGGAGGAACGACAGGCGAGGAATATAGCTCGGGCGCCGCACTTCCGGTAGCGAGCGGAAGTGAGGGATTTCTCCGGAAGAGGGAGCCTGGACGCGTGCTGCCCCAGAGGACACGTTGGGCTGCTCTGGCCGCTGGGTGTCTATGGTTTCCAGCGGCTTGTTCAACCAAGGCTTGCAATGGAGGCTGCGGGGGTGGCCCCGATCCGAGCCCAGTGAGTATGGGGGGTGCTCTTCCTCATCCTCCAGAGCCCCTCCCCCACCCCTCCTGTCTTCCCGTTTTAGACCCCCCCTGCCCACCCCTTTTGTTGCAGACCCCCCAG